GCCTGCTATGAACCTGATGCTGATCTTTAATGACTGAATCTGTGCATCTTCATCTCAACGAAGATCACGAGCTCACAGATGGAGAATCTGTGTCCATACGTTGAGCCCGAGTCTTCCTCATTAAGCTCTATTGTTCTCCGCCAGCTGTCCCAGTCCAGATCTGTAGATTAAAGTCATTAATCTTGTCAAACAACATACCTGCAGATATCTCATTGTCGTGACGCTGCAGATGAGTGTCTGCGACAGGCGGCGGATCCCTCTGAAGCCCTGATAAAGCTCTGTTAATTGATATGCTAATTGGATGTGTGTCGTGGTTGCTGTATGATCAATGTAGGATGAGCCCGAACGAAGCAATTAACTCCTGTGATGGTGCAGAGAACAAAAGACTTGTGTCTTTGTGTGTGTGGAGTTACTTGGACGCGTGCCGGGCTTTGGTGGCGATGGCCAGTTGTACACGATGGGAAAATACCTGCCTCTCTGTTTGACTTCTGGTCCTGAGGTAGCATTTAGAGAACTCTCACCCTAAAGCATACCCTGCTTTCTGGTCTGTTTTACTCTAAATGGGACCATCAGTTACTAAATGAACATCATGCTGTATGGAAGAAGACTGAAACCAGAGACTGAGACCAGAAACTCATCAGGAAGCTGTTTACTGAGCTCATAAATTAGAAGTCGGCTCATTTCTCCATAATACTGTATGGTATCAGTGTTTTTGCAGCCAGTGGAGCTCCCCCTGCTGGCTGTTACACAGAATGCAGGTTTAAGACACTTAAATCATATTCGATCGCCCTTTTGCGGAGGTGTTTTTGAAGCTGCTGTGCCTGTAGTGATACATCTTTATTGCGATCGGACCCTAAAAGGACCAGACTTGTCTGTGTGAGGAATCGTACTCATTTCTTCTGATTGGCCAATTAGCCGACCTTAAGAAAGCCTGTTGAGGCGGTTGCTGCGCCCAGTGCTTGTCACTGGTCTGGAGGTATAAAGAGAACTGGATACAGCGTTGGAGACTGCAAAGAAATGACCAAGATGAACGCTTTCTGACTTCTGGTTTAGCTCCCATTAAGTTGAATTCAGAATGTTATCGGACTGAATGGATCACAGCTGATGGGTTGACTTTGAGATCTATACAACTTCTAAGTATATAGAATCTGTTGGTACCTTTTATGGATTCATGGATTCAGACTCGCTGACAGGCTGCAGTTAGTTGTCCCTGTTTGCACTGCAGCTTCATTATTTCCTGCTGTCACTGTCGGCTCCTCGTACGACGCTCACAGTTTACTGTCAGCAGGTTGATGTGAATCTGACATCCTGTATTCAGAGTGCGCTCTGCGGGCCAAACACCGTTCATCTTTCGTCCCAGTGCTTCAGATCGGTTCCCAAAGTCAGCTTTATTTCATAATTTATTAATTTAATTAAACGAGAGAAAATTATGCTTACAACTAATTACTTATTTCTGCTACAGAGGTTTTATTTCCCTACAGGAGGCGCTGCAGATATACGACTTATTTAAAACCAAATATAATTTTGTTACCCGCCTTTCTGGCTCCTTCTACTTCATTCATTGCTGTAATTTCCTGTATTCATTATTCATTGACCATCGCTCCCAGCGGGACGAGGCCGCCTGGTTGTGAGTCCTCGTGCTTAAAAGTGGGAACGTCCTCCTTCCTCCAGTGTCAGGATTCATCTTTTTTAGTTGAACTCTTGTGCTCTGTGCTCTTGTTAATTCCCAGCACAGTTAAGACGGGATCAGGTTCGATGTGGGTGTCGAGTAGATTCACGTTCTAGATGTTGACACTGCGAGGTCAGGAAGTGTAGTGACATTGTAAAGTTAGTTTGAGTAAAAGTTCTCCGTCAGTTTCACCCAGAACTTCTTCCCAGAATCCATCGATCAGCACAGTACAATAATGTCTTTTTTTTTTTGACACAACCTTTATATTTCATCCAGCATTACGCAGGTGTTCAGGGGTTTGTACCTGCACCTCATTTCAGGTTCTGATTATCTCATGACCTCTGAGATAACGATAGTGGAGATTAAGATGCATTTGGATGGAAAGACGACTGTCCTTTAAAGAAGCTGACATACAATTTGAATAAAACATCAACTTTTAGAGGCTTAAAGAATCTTTTTATTCAGTTTTGCAGATTTTGATATCATCTCCTCATGTGAGATATATCTTCTATTTTTATAAAATGTTGTTATATTTTATCACAAATCACAACAGGAATATGAAATACAAGCTGTGGTGTATTCACTGCCTTTGCTCCGGGCTCTGCAAACTCTATAAGGTGTAATTTAACACATCCAACCTACAGTTCTTAATCTCTTCACAGACTCACTGGTGAATCCTTTACATGGTGAGAAGGAGATGAAATGTCTCAGTCGAGTTTTATCCTCAAAAAACATAAAAATCCTCCAGCTTTACCCCCGAAGAGGAGATGATGGGAGCACATATTCCCACTGGATGCCGGCTCATTAGAAACTCTGAATCCTCGTTTTGCTCATTAGAGAGAGATGAGGTCCCCACCAAACCTCAGAGCCTTTTACCCCCCCTTCAACCAGCCGGTCCTCAACCAGTCAGTTCGGGCAAGTACAGACTCTCTCACACAAACTTCTACATCTGGATGAAGGACTGCTGAGGCCTCATTGAAGTCTGGCTCACTAGGGGCTCAGCGTAGGATCGATTACAGGGTCGCAGTAGACCAGTTCCAGACCTCTTCCAGACCAGTTTTCACTTATGCAACAGGCTGACATGTCTGCAGCCTTTTATTTATTTCAGATTCATTATGGTGTAAACTTCTGTCTGTTTGTTTGCATTTTGGAAGAGGTGTGAAATTTCAGTCCGATCTTGTTTGTGTTCATCAGGGCTGAAGAAATCCAGCATGAACCTGAGAATGAGTCAAAGACACGGTGAGGGGGGAATACCACGCTGGAAAACAAAAGAAAGACTTGAAAGACCTGGAAGACCTTGATTAAAATGACCAACTACCTTAATAACAATCTGTGTTCTCCTGGTTTATGCTTACATAATATAAAAACGCTGGTGGTTTGTAATTTCTGCGTGCAAACAGCCGGTTATTAATGATCAAATCGACACTGTTTTGTATTTCTAATTAATTTCAAACAGACAAAACCGTAGTAAAATCCAGGTTTTTGCTGTTAATTCTCACTATATGTGTGTATAAGCAGGTCTATTTAATGAATTCAGTATTCTGTATGTATTGTGTGTGTGTGTGTGTGTGTGTGTGAGAGAGAGAGAGAGAGAGAGTGTGTGTGTGTGTGTGTGTGTGTGTGTGTGTGTATTCTATAGAGATCTAGATCTATGATACGACAGCCACAGTATTGTGTGTGTGTGATTTGATTGGCAGATGTCACACACGTCTGTCAGCGAGGAAACATAAGAAAGAGGAACAGTTAAATCGCAGTTATTCATGCCCTGCTGCTCTGTTTAATGTCTCGCCGAGATCTAATTACAGCCGCTCTGAATCTCGCTCCGCGCTTTTAATTAACACGCCCCAAAAAAAAAAAAAAAAGGGAAATGGAGCAAAAATTTAAAATTAATTGAATGTGGAATTTGTAATTCAAAGTGCGAGCAGGAGAGGAGATCAAATACGAGTCCGTACTTTTAAGAGTTGGCTCCCGTGGGGGGTTTCCCACCCTGTGTTTCAAGGTTTGGGTGTGTGTGTGTGTGTGTGTGTTGCGACCCGCTGAGGGGGGCCGCGGCCTCCGTTTTCAGGACGAGGCGTCAGAATTAAGCTTTATATAGAGCGGGATAATGATGTGGATGCTTGCTGGGAGAAAGAGTGTTTTAATAAGCGAGGGGCTGGCAGAGGGGGCCACTCTCAAGGCTGCAGCCGTGTGGATTAATGCGGCAGGCAGGATCATTTATAGACGAATCACTCAGGCTCACACGCTATTGATTTCACCCGACGGGTTCACTGATAAACACACACACACACACACACACACACACACGGAAAGGTAAAGGACTTTATTCCATTCAGCTTGTTTTTTTACCAGATAAAGTTAGTTTCTGTAATTGTTTCGTAGGTAGAGTGAAAGAAAAATACTATAAATTCTACATAAAATACAGTTTTTGTCATATTTAACATGAATAGAAGAGTCACAACCATCAATAGAAACAGTTGTCAAATGAAAAAGTGATGCTTATATTTTCATTTAAAGGTGAAATGAAGAATGTCATTTTAAGATCACATCCTCATTTAATTGAACAATTTGTGCCAAAAAATGTACAAAAAACTTGATTTCTTTGTATTTTTTTATATCAGAGATGACGACAGCAGTACCGAGGTGTTTTATGGAGAGGATGATGGACTTAAAAGGCTAAAAGAAGCTAACTGTTGCTAACTGTTAGCCCTCGCAGCTAGCGTAACACACATTCAGTGCTGTTGGCTACAGCGACAGGTCCCTCCCTCACTATATATAAGGAAATATACAGGCGCAAACAGCTCTCTGATTTCTGTTTCATGTGGACTTTAAATGTCATTTTTTTTGCTTTATTTGACAGCACAGAAGAGGGACAGCAATGGGCCACAGGCTGGACTCGAACCCAGGCCACTGCGGTAAGGACTCAGCCTCGATACTACTATACTATACTACTACTCTGATGCCCATCATAGAGTAATATTATGCAAGTTTAAGTTTTTGGACACAGTTGGAATAAGGAATACTTAAATCAAAATGTATAATTATGTAACTGTCTCACTCGTCTTTGCAAAAAACATAAATATTTATTGTTTGCGATTAAATTAGCTTGTGTTTCTTCACCTTGTCCTTTGTGGGCTACTGTAGAAACATGGCGGTTCAACATGGTGGACTCCGGCTGCACCAGTTGTGATGTTTTTATGGTGAAACAGTTGAGCCAGGGGTAGGATCAGCACCCTAGAGGGCACTTTATCATGTATAGTACTATAATATAATAATATATAGGCTATGAACTGTGCAGGCAAAGGTTTCAAAATAAAATCCAGACAGTCAAATGTTTGTATTTGAACAAAATATTTTCTTTTATTCTGCAAGAGAACTGAATATGGTGGAGCTCCACTGATAAACGTACATGAGTTCAGCTCATAAACAAACGGAGAATCTACAACCAACAAACTATTGCAACCGATACAAGAAAGTAAAGTGAATCGTGATGGGCCAAAACCATTTCAAAGAGAGAATACCAAGAGAAGCCGGTAGCAGGTATGGCAGAGGGCAACACTGAGAAAGAGACCAGTTACAGTCCAGCAGCCTTCGTTTGTTACTCGGCGGTCAAACACTTAGAACAGTTGATCAATCAGAGGGTAGTCGGATCAGATTCAAAAGTCCCGTCATTTCAGTCAGCTTTAGCTATCTAATCTACATTAATCCTAGATAGCTAATTAGCTTGTGTTCATAACTTGAGCAATCAGATGTAACTTGGCAGCTAACGATTGATGTAGATTAGCTAGGTAGTGTTTTGTTAACATTAGCTATATATAGTTCAAAATTTGGTTGCCTTTTCAACATAGATTAGCCTATCATGTAGGATTTCTAAGTACAGGAAACAAATGAGTTCACTGAGGCTTGCTCAGCTGTTTTGGAGTAGTCCAAAAAGGGGCGGGGCTTCAGATGGGTCAATTGTGTCACCAAATTTGTGCCGTTAACCAACAGCAAACTGTCTTACCATCTGACCTCTGAGGTGGTGATCAGACTGAAGAGTCAAAAATATAGTTTTGTTGAAATGTTTAATCGCACCGTTGCACTAAGACAACATTAGCTTCAGTTTACAGACCATAATATCTACAGTAATGGTCGTCTTTCTCAGCATTTCGTTGTTAAAGCATTAAACAACTGACACAAAAAGGACTGGAACTTGTTTCAGCTGTAAGCAGTGATGTTAAACTTGCTATATTAAATTCAGATCTGAATACACCATAAACAGACAAATAACAGTTGTTTTCCAAAGACATCTTTTTTACCATTTTTCTTTTATACACAAAAAACAACAGTCAAGAGTACCAAATATGCATGCTGGATCTGTACGTATGTCAAAAAGGGGGTAAAAGAGGGTAAAAGGCGGGGAGAGGGGCGGGAAGGGCGGGGTGTCATATACACTTTTTTTTTAAAATCTTTTTTTTTAAGTTCGTTTTTTTAAAAGTTCTTTATTTTCATATATATATATAAGAAGCTGTTACTCCTCAAAGCTGTGCTGGGTACTGTGATCAGATAAGCAGTGGTAAGAACACAACACGACTCCTCGGTGAGAATCACAAACATATTCAAACCTGGCTGCAAATAAAACTTTGCAGAACTGCTTGAGGGTGAGTAGTAGTATTTGTAGTAATAATAGTAGTAATAGTAGTAGAGGAACAACAGACAGTTGCTATTTTAACAGTCCTGGGGTGGTTGTGAGTATAAACACTCAGAAAGATAAGGTAACAGCAGGCTTATTGTACCTTTTTGTTACAGCGACTGCACCTTTTTGTTAGACTCAAAATGTACCTTTTTTTGTTTTCTAAGAGGTGAACCTTCGCCTGTTTCCTGGAGTTATTTAGAGTTAGAGTTTTCCAAAGTGAAAACTCTACTAAACAGTCTGTAAAAGTAAACTTGACAAAACAGATATTTTGGTTTGTCCCAATAACCCTTCCTTTAAACTACTGCTTCTTCTTTCCACCTGGTACTACTACGAGCGAAAAACCCTGCCCATTCAAGAAAACACCTGGACTGTGTTATGGGGGTCGACGCACCTGAGGGAAAACATGTGCCCCTCCATCACGAACCCCCTCGCTGACAGAAAAGGGAATATTGCATGTTGTGGTGGAGTGAGACATGAAGGGAAATCACCCTGCAGAAATCTGTCAAGTGTAAAACAATCATGAAACGTGTTAAAAAAAGGCCCAGTTGGCCTTCCGTACCTGCTGCAGAATTCGGACAGGATGAGATTTTAAAATGCTAAATCAAATCAAGTTACATTAAACTACAAATCTTGCACAATTACAAGGTAATAACTTGTAGATTTTGTGTTTTTGGGACATTAAATGAAGCCCAGAAGTCCTGAAAAAGGAGATATTATATTTAAAATGTGAAAATCCACGTTCCACAGATTTCTGCAGAACATTTTCAACCAAGAAATAGAAAACCTTCAAACTTTCAAACTCCAGCTATGGTCATCATGTGCAACTATATATATATATATATATATATATATATATATATATATATATATATATGGAGTAGCGCGGGTGAGAAAAAAGCTGTGACTTTTGGTAGTTTTCTTTCAAATCCTCAACAGAAGTCAGTTTATATCAAACAGCACATAAACTGAAGAGTGCAGATCGAGTTAAATCTGATTGATTTTACCACGGGGGGGGAAGGAGGGGGGGACATCATCATCATCATCGAACGAGGACTTTAAAAGACGGATTCTTCCTGACGTGCCGCATAAGTACCTGCGTGAACACAGATCGACCAACTGTTCGCTGTACGGGACGCTCATTCACACGAAGGCAATGGAGATCAAAACATCACTGAAACCTTTCCAATGATCGACAACTGAAGGATCAACAAGAACTGAAATCTTTGGTCTAAATGTTTTGGGGGCAGTGGTTTGGGAGGTGGAGGTGGGAGGGGGAACAAAAACAGTTGACTCAAAACAACCCTTCAAACTGTAATATCTTTCAGCTTTATATATACGATAGATACATCTCTGTGTAAGTGTGAGTCATGACGCAGACATCACAGGTAAATATTAACACGAGTCTCTTGTAGATGATAAATGTGTGCAATTTTTCAGACAAAGCCCTCTGTGAAGGAAAAGATCCGAACATATCTCTGAGAAAAAGTTTCAAAAAAGCGCCTCCTTCCCTCCTAAAAGTAGCTCTACGTTTTTGCCTGTAACGAATACTGTACATCTGTCATAAAACTCTTAAAAACCCCCGGCCCTGCTCGCTGTAAAACAAAAGGGAACTCTTCGTTTTTTGTTTGTTTTTTTCTTTAATAAATGTATAATTTTCATATAAAGACATTCAACAGTGAGCAATGCAATATAGTTCAAGTAATAGAGTTTTTTTTGAGTTCCCCCTATTTCGAAAAAAACCCAAAAAACAATAAGTCAGCTGATAAAATGAAATAAAATCCTTCGGACTGTGTGGCGATGGAGGGGAAGGCGAATGATGCTGCGTCTAAGCTACGCGAAGCCATGAGGGACAAAACTCTTGAAGTGAGGACACTACAAAAGTTGAAAAGTCATGTGGGGGTGGGGGGGTGGGGGGGGTGGTATCTAGCTTAATCGACTGAGAGTGATTTTAAGTATCGATGCAGAAAAAACCCTGATTTATTTCTTTATTTTTTCTTCAAATCGCTGGCTTTGTTGTGTGGTAGTTTCTACGGTAAACTTGAAACACCTGAGGGTTTAATGACCGTCATGAAGGAGACGTTGAAAAGTCTGGCGAATTGAACGGGCCTGCGTTTCCGGTAGCACCTGGAGAGTTAGGATCGTTTCTGAACGCGACTGCGGTGCTTTTTAAAGAAAGAAAGGAGAAACAAATAAAATAACCCAGCTTCGGATCCGGACCGATCCTTTTTTTTTTTGTACATTCAAGATTATATCTTTAAACCCCGCCTTGGTGTCCCCCGTTAGTCCGAGAGAGGTCAAAGACCGTCGTCACAGGTGGATGCCGACAGATACAAAAAAAGGGCTGTGTCCCAATTCAGAAGCAGAATATATATGTGAAAAATCTTACTAAATTCACCCTGAAAGATCAAGTTAATACTTGTAGCCGCAGTTTGTGCGACCCGTCGAAAAGGCAAGAGAAACTGCAGAAACATCCTGCAGAGGAAAGCAAACAAAGGATCTCCTGAATCCTGGATGAGCTTTTGTGTTTCTGACATTTCTACATGTCATACTGAGCTCAAACTTAGAAGCAAATTGAGTTTTCTTCCACAAAAGACCAAAAGAAAAAGGTCAAATTTCTCGTCTGAATTCGAAAGCGAGCCCCTGAAATGAGACACAGCAAACATCTCGCCACTGTTCCGACCAGCTGTGCGGACACAGTCTATCCCGTTTCTTTCTTTACTGTTTTTAGCTGAACTGGGATTTAAAAGAGGGACAACTGGGGGGCTGGCAGTCGGCTTCAAGCTAAATCCAATTTGGCCTGTCCTCAAAAGCAATTAGTGACCTTTGGGTTGCAGCTCTCTCAGATACACAACTGGCTGCAGGCTGCATTAACAATTTACTCTTTAATGCACTAATTTGCATTTAACTTTTTGTTTTGAGGGACTCCGTCTGGATGCCATCGTACAATAAAAACCTTGAAGGAAGTCACAGTAAGTACTTCTTTTATGCAGATATCCCTGGAACTTTATTACCATTAACGATATTTAAACCTCGTTTTTAATGATGCTCCAACAGATTTTATTTCAGAGATGCTCCTGTTGCCAATTTTGCTTCTTTAAATGCATAAAAATTAGATAAATAAGATTTTTGCATTTTTGTTTGTAGAATTGTCAGAAATTTACTGAAATAGTTTCACATCTTTCTGACGTTAAACAGGCCAAACTGGATTTCGCTCTGGGACGAACTGATTCAGTCTCTGGTAAAATACAGGAGACCGGGTACTTTCAATGGCTTTCAACTCCACGAAACCTTGTGAGCGGACAATCTCGAAAGCCGGGGGGGCTGATACACTGTCGGGGTGTTGAGGAGGACATTGAGACGGGGGCATAGATAAACACATGGTGGGTACAACCAATGTTGTATCATTCACTCGCAATGACTCCTCAAACAATGGCCCTCTTCCTACAACCTGATACACCTTCAAACGTACCTCTGTGTGTGCGTGTGTGTGTGTGTGTGGACCGTACACTCTGATGGCGCCTTGTCAAATTGCGAAAAACACCACAGACGACAGAGTGAGGAGAGGTGCTTTGTCTGACTTTGTAACCAGCATCGTTTTAGGGTTTTTTGGGTAGACGCCCTCTCAAACGTTATCCTGTAAAAAAAAAAAAAAAAAAATCCGGGCGTGTCTCAGTTCGGGAATCTCCCCGAGCGAGCAGCCAATGGTTGAGCGGCATCTTCAGCCAATCGGTAATCGGTAAGGAAGAATAGAAGCGACTTGGTTTTGTTTTTCTCTTTCAGTTTGTCAAGATATTTTTTATTGTGTGATGGTGTCACTGGTTATAAAGTCAAGCACCGGCAAGAAGTGTTGAATTCAAACAAAAATAATTAATAAAGAGGAAACTGAAGGAATCTGACAATCAAAAAGTTTCACTCCAAAAGCTTCACTGTGCACTTTGATTATCTCTTGGACCTTAGTGCATCTCAAACTCTCTCTCTCTCTCTCTCTCTCTCTCTCCCTCTGCGTGACTGCTGAACTACACAACGCTAGATTGCACGTTCTTTCAAGTTTTCAGTATTTTCTTCTAAAGCCTGTGTCTTCAGCTCGGGGACGTGGCCTCCGTCTACCTGCTCTCCGTGTTACACATTAAAACATTTTAATCAAAAGCTTATTATTTCTGAAAACAAAACAAAAACACAAGAACAGTCCCAGTTTTTCAACCCACAGCCATATATTCAACGTATCGCTCGCTCGCTTTTTATAAACCACACATAAAATGGGTTTCAGGTTCAATGGTCAGACTGGTTTGTATTTTTCCTTCATGCTTTCCTTTCAAAAGGATGATTTTGGTGAAACTGACCATCTGTAAAAACCTTTTCTTGTCTGGTTTAAGTTTAACATTTGTGACCTCAGCGCTCTGTACGTTGTTCTGTGATTTGGGTCACTTAACGCTCCATATTTTATAGTTTTTAAATCCAATATTTCAGCCGAGTCTGCGGCATTAGAAAGCGACCTCTGCAGATGCCAGAAAACAGGGTGATGTTTTGGCTCGGGCTGCAACTAAAGCAGCGTTTCCACAAAAAGAAATTAAGTTCCAGCGACATTATTTAACCCTTAAAATGGGCTTTGGGGTTGGGGCTTGCAGTGCCAAACATTTCCAATTGGTTGAGTTTTCACTGCATTTTATTTCAGCTGCAAACCATTTTCATTTGGGTTCATTTTGCTTCAGCATTGAGTTACAGAAGAAAGCGTGTAGAGTTGTGCAAAAACTGCATGAGAAATCACTTTCTGTATGTTAGCGAAGTAATTTGCCTACTTTGGGCAGAAGAAACCTTGTAGTTCCTGGAGCTAAATGTTCTGGGTGCTTTGGGTGGAAACGCAGCTTAACAAGACTCGACTGACTGCTTTAGTTTGGCTGGAGCAACATAGAGCCGCTGAGGTCACAGATGGGACTTTGTTTAAGTGCTTCTTACTCGGCCGTCTGTATTCACAGACGGTCCTGGTGGTTCTGTCTACGTACCATTTGGTTTTCCAAAGAAAGAAAGAAAAAAAAAAAGGCTATTTGGTGCACAAGCACGTGGCCCCAAAACTCGGTTTTATGTGTGGTCTCAAACACACCATTCGCTTTTGCTTTTCCTTCACTCCGTTCACAAAAAGAAAGAAAGAAAAACCAACTAACACACTAGCTGACTCTTTCCCCTCCCTCTCCAACTTTGGTCTCTGGTTCTGATCTGTGACATTGCCATTTAGCAAAACAACTATGTTCCAGCAAAGCAAAAATAACAAAAAACCCATCTACAGTTAGTATAAAAGCAAGCCTTTAGTCCTTCTCTCAAGACTACAAAACTGGTTTGTGCCCCCCTCCCTTCCCCTCGACTCCCGCCCTCTCCCACCCCCTTTAACCCTTCAGCAGCAGTCTACATGGAGGAACGCTTCATAAAAACAACAAGCGTCCGTTGTCTCGTTATGCTACATTATTTTTGCTTTTCGTACGGAGAGGGACAGAGAACAGACACTTGACATCATCTCCTCTTGCATTTACCACAAACAAAGTAAAAACAGAAGGAAACATGAAAACGACTCCAGAAACAATAATAGAATCATCTGAGGTGGAAAATATAATAACGGGAAACAAAAGAAAGGATCTAAAATGGGAATGTTTAGTTGTCGTCTTCGTCGTCATTCGTGTTGGGTTTTTTTTTTTTGAGTTTCTGGTAAAAAGTCTGAGCTGGAGTTTAGGTAGCAGCGGGGTCAACCTGAAACTCTGAAGTCTCCTACTCCGTTTCCTTCCTTCCTTTCCTTCAGTCATGTTTTTTTTTTTCACATTCACAAACATTTAAAACTTCCTTGTGCAAATCAAGCAGTCTTTAGAAAGAATGCCCTCCGAAATTGTTCTTGTAAAAATATATAACTCCAAGGTGGCTGACGTGTGTGTTGCAGCAAGTGTTTCTATCTGTATCGGGTCTGGTGTTGGGGGTTGCTTTGTATTTCAACCAATCCCCTCCCCTCATCCTCCCATCCTTCACTCTGCCTTCCCCTCAGAGAGGTGGGGTTGGTTTGTTGTCTATGTGTGTGGGGGGGGTGGGTGTAGGGGGTTCATCTGCGTCCGGAGGGCATCTGTGCGTAGACGGGGTATGCGAGGCGCACGTTGAGCGAGTCGTTGTGCTGCACCAGGGAGGTCTGGTGGTAGTGGAGCACCAGGTCCTTCAGGCTGCTGTACAGGTTGTAGGGCTCTGCGAAGCCGAAGCCGCGCGGCGTGCTGTAGATGACGCAGTGCTTCACCTCGCCTTCGACGCTGAGGACACACAGAGAGGACACAGTCAATAAAACTGGCTTTAATGATCATGTTTGTGTCTTTGGAAAGTGTTTGAATGTTGTGTGTGCAGTTTGACTCTAGGAGGATGTTTTTACATTCATCTGCTGAAAGTGGAAAGTTTCTCTGAGCTCATTGAACGTCTGATTTTAAGGGGCGGGGCCTACGAGCATGATTTGTGACTCATACAGTGTGATCCACCAGCGCTCAGACACTGAAACTTTACGAGGAAGGAGGAGACATCTTGTGTCTAGCAGGAAACTTTAGAAATGAACATTTGCATATTTCATATTTTTAAATGAGGTAACCTCGTACCTAGATGCATTTTAAAGGATGTGGAAATTCTACTTTTTAAACTTTGTTAATTAGGGATGGTTAGTTGATTAAATGTTGCTATCCCCGCTAAATTTCCTTAAAATTAATATGTATAATAAAAAAACTTGGTACTCACACGACAGAGCAGGCGTAGCAGCCCTTTTTGCTGCTTTCTCGAATGAGGAACGCTCCGTCCGGCTTCCCGAGGAGCAGCTCCTCGGCCTGCGTCCTGTTCAGGTCCCCGACGAACCAGCTCTTCTCGTCGTAGTGAGGCAAGTTCTCGTCCTCCTCGCTCACAAAGTAGCCTCTGCAGCCACACAGCGAGAGAGAGAGAGAGAGAGACAGAGAGAGACACACGGTGAGATGTAGAAACATAATATTCTCATTACATTAACAGCTCTGTGCAGACACATGTACAGCTACAGCGTTAACCCTCCACGTTTTAATCTTCAACCACAGGCTTGGCAGGAGAAAGGAAGGAAAAAAACTCACTCGTCAGTGTTCTCGTTCTTGATTCCCAGCCAGTCGTTAATTCGTTTCTGACGAACTCCTTTGTGATTGAGCCAGCTAGAGAGAGAGAGAGAGAGAGAAAGAGAGAGAACCATTACTACCACTAGGAATCGGTGTAAAAGGCTCCTTTCATTTCTAACATTGTTTATGGCGCAGCGAACGAGCATGAGACTGAACAGAAATCAAATTAGCGAGCCTCCGACAAACGTCTTTACAGAACGAGGCCTCGCTGGAAATCTCCGGCTGAACCTTCGGTAAGAGGAAACACAAGTTTTCTAATCAAGTCACAGACCGTCTGGGTTTTGGGGCCTTGGGACTAAAATGTGTCCTTCATGTCTGTACAGCCGGAGGAAGCATTTAAGCTTGGGTGTTCATCTTGGACCTTATTCTTATAAGTTTTCTTTTGGCGAGTATTCGAATGTGGAACTTCCTTAAAATGATCATCCCTCACACGCAGCCTGTGAATCCAACAGGCAGCTCGTAGCTGTTCCTGTTTCAATAACACAGAGTAAATACAATCTATCATCCTCCACCCTCCTGACCTGACAAACAGGACTGCGAGCTTGTCTAACAGCACGTGAGCAGCTGGAGTTCTTTTCTCCCAGGGTTCATTAATATATTTCACACCTGTCCTCAGAAGTCCTTGACTCCGCCTCTGTGTCCTAACAAGACCTCGCTGTGCTCACAGTCTGTCCCCTGTACTTACACTAGATACTGGTCCCTGATCTTGCGGAGCTGTATGAGGTCGGGCTTCAAGCTGTTCATCTTCTTGTCGGTCTCGCGGTTGTCCATGGCTTGCGTCTTCAGGTCCTGCTCCAGCCGCACCTTGCTGTCGTGGATCTCCCCGAGCCGAGACTTGAGCTTCTCGTAGTTCATCATGATCCGCTCGATCTCCTTGTCGTTGCCCTCGCGGCGGAAGCGCTCGATGTAGTCCTTGCTGTAGCGCTCCTGCGTGTGGCACTGCTCCTCGAAGATCTTGATGGTCTCGTTGAAGGCTTCGATGGCCGTCCGCTTCATCTGGATCTCCTGAGGGACGAGAGGGGGGCGAGGCACGTGAGCACACAGGACGGGAAACCACAGAAACTCAGTCACAGAATGGAAGTTTGTGCGTACCTGCGACGTCTTGGTGTATTCTTCGTACAGTCTGTCGTACTCTTTGCTCTTCTCCTGGTACTGATTGTGGTATTCCTGCAGCTTCTTCCCCACAGCATCAATATTATCCTCCTTTACCAGCTGGTCCTGAGGGATCGAGGAGGAGAAATGAAAGACATTAGAGAGCGAGTGGTGCACAGAAACTGAAGACAGGATGAGGAAAAAGTACACGTGCGTGTTTGCTCCCTTCACCCCCGATTCTGCTTACAGAGGGCGACTCCTGAGCAGGCTCGTTAATAAACCACCCACATTGCCCCGGGTGTACGCCGAAGGCGTGCACGCTCGGAGATATTGCATCACTCCCGAGTAATGGCTCGCCTGGCGAACAAGGGAAGTGAGGGAGGAAGGGAATAAATGCGACAGCGGGGCCTTTGACACCGCAGATGTGTGCAATATTTCAGCGAGCGGAGATCTTGCTGCAGCTGCAGTTTGGAGTGGAAACACCAGGCAACGGGTAACGGGGGAAGAGAGGGGGGTAAGGAAGAAACTAGTTGGAAAGCTGTTTCAGATGTAGCACAAACTGAAGTTGGGTCTCTAACATCAATAAATACTTTTAAAGGAAGATTGTGCATTTTTATAACCTATTTTTGTCGTGTTTTTCCCGTTTGTTATGGTCAGATTGTGATTTCACAGCAGGTGAACGGTCATACGGTCTTAAACAGGCAGATAAACGTGTATAAATGTGTCAGTAAGAGTGTATGTCGTCGTGTGTGCCGACCTGCTGGAAGCGGGAGATGGGGTACATGAGTTTGACGTCCAGCTTGGTGTTGTACTGAGCCAGAGACTCGTGTCGGTAGTGGCTGATGAGCTCCACCACCGAGCTGAACGTCAGGGGGTCGGAGAATCCGTACTTCCCATCCCGATGGTAGATCTTTATCAGCTTGTTGTTGCCCCCTTTCCTGAACACGAAGAGAAAGAGAAGAGGATACAGGAGAGAAGATGAGTACATTTATATATTCTATGCATCTAAAACAGAGCCGGTTCTCCTTTAATATTCACACTTTAACAGCTTCTCGTTCAGGGCTCAGTTCCCCTTCCAGCACTTTATTTCCAGGGCAGTGGGCGATTTGCTCCAATTTACCAGGATGCTGCGTAGGCAAAATGCTTCTCAACACATGATTTCCCTCAATCTGTAGCTAACTAGAGGGATGGTTGCATAAAAAGTGGAGCAGGAAAAGTAATCTACGGCTCCTTCCAGCCTCCATAAATCCCCCTGTGGTTTTAAAACACACTGACACAAACTCCAGCAGGACTTTACCTCAGTGTGAGCGTGTAGTCGCCCTGCATCTTGGTGGAAGCGTCCCGAACCAGGAAGGTCCCATCAGGCATGTCTCTGAGCTTATCGTTCACCTCCTCCCTGAACACACACAACAGAGAATGAGAGTTGGTTGGTTGGTTGGATGGATCCGTGCACAGATGGTGTTCATTTTGAAAAAAAAAAAGAAAACTCCAATTATCAGTGGCGGGCGATGAGGACTTTCCCCGCAGCCACACACCTCAGAGTAAACAGTCCTGTCAATTAAATGATGCAGCGACTGGTCAGACTGGTCCCAGCCAGCAGAGTGTGTGTGTGTGTGTGTGTGTGTGTGTGTGTGTGTGTGTGTGTTAAAAGGTGGCAGACTGGCTGGCTGCGCTGTAGGTGTGGTTATCATCTGAGTGTGGCTGAGAGCTAACCTGCACTTAGGAAGGTAAAGCAGTGAGTAAGACCTAAACAGTGAAGACTCATCAGTTCTGTTCCCAAACGACTCCACTCCAAGGGAACTGATTTTAATGATTTTAAAGCTCTAAAACACAAATCAGTGAGTTTTTCTTCAAGGTTTCACTGAAAACAAAGACAGTTTTGGTGAGTTTGATTCCGTTTCTGTTCACTTTGAAGTCTGCAAGTTAAAATTACTGGTTTTATAAATGGAGTTTGGACTGCTTGGGCTCTAGTGCGACATTTAGTGAATTTCCTGTCTATAGCCTTTAATTATTTACTTTTCAGTCCCTCACCAGGTTACCAAGTGTCCTCATTAGGACGTATAAACCATACAAACAGGAAGATAAACACAATGTCCCCATGTTTCAAATACAGCCGTGGGCATTTGATGCATTTCACCCTCCCAAATTAATCCCCCAAAAGACAGTTTTGGAACTTTAGTGACCGTATTTCAATCTGATTTGTACCCATCTCTTTCATAGGTCAAGGTGACGTCCTGAAATGTCTTGTTTTGTCGACAAAATGCGGATATTTATACATTCTGTAATGTATAATACCGATCATTAGTGTTCTGTGATAAGATTATCCATCTCAAGAGTGTGTGTGTTACCTGGATATGTCTCCCCAGTACCACTCAGCCTCTTGCAGTGAGCCTCCTGCTCCTCCATCCTTGGTGCCGTTGCTGCTGCCCCCGCCCACCCCGACCGAGGAGGGCTGCTGGGGCTTCGCTGGCTTCGGAGGAAGAGCTGGAAGAGAGAGAGAGAGAGAAAATGTGGCTATGAGTCGGTTGATCAGCACACTAACTGTAACTTGACCTCTGTTTTTTCTGTGTTCCCTACAGCTCTACGCCAGAAGAATTTCCTCCATTCATACCCACACATACCTCATATGCAAATGAATAACACAGGACTGTTTATTTCTGCACACAGATGCAGCGGCGGTGCAGTCGGTTATTAATCACACAGGCAAACAGTGGCAAGACAAACACAGCCCATACATCACCACAGTAATTATTATTCTGTGTGTCGCGCACACACGCACACCACACACACACACAGAGTGAAAGTTATGGGCTGCCTGTGAGCCGTTTCCTGAGGAGGGATGTGGAAGTTTGTTAGACCTGCCAGCGCTCTTGTTTTCACAGCGTCTTTGAACTCATCCTCCCACTGAGCTGCTGTAAGGGAAACTTGCTCGTTAATGATATTTAGCTGTTATCGCAGCAGATAGTGTTTGAAATGTGTCAGAAAACTTGACTTTTAGCTTCTGCTTTTGCAAGTCTGGATCGTGTTTAAGACTTCATTCTGAACAGACACCGTGAATGAAGCAGGAATTCATAAGGACAAGGAGACAAGCTCACAGATATAAAGTCTGTGAGGGAATATTCAGATTGATGGAGGATTGTATAACTGTATAATTGTATATAAGGAAAATCTCCATCTTCTGTTATTTTGTCTCTCCACACAAACTGTTTATTAATTTCTGGGACATTTCAGCCACTGGTTCACAACCGTATTCCTTAAGATTTAAAAACTGTACAAAGAACCCAAACAGTGAACTCAGTAACTGCAGGAAGTTTGTGTAAAGTTTGGATTAATTTGAGCAGATTATTTCCTGTTTAGGGAACTTTTTATACAATTCTTTGTCTGTATTGTGTATTTTTTTAACAAAAAAACAAACAGAAGTGAACCAAGTGCTGTGTAAACTTTTTGGAACAATCAAGAAGGCATCGCGATTCCCTGTGAAGCTGTGGCGACCCCTAGTGGGGGTCCAGACGCCCACTACAGGTCCATTATTTGGTTTATGCAGAGCTCTTGCACAGCTGGTTGTGTTTAGACGTCATTTAACATTTAAAAACATTGTCTTGATTGTTAAACAATACAACTGGTGTTTGTAGAAAAACGTTATGTTGCAAACTACGGGCGATAATAACAAAGACTCTCAAACAATCAGTCAGTAAAAACAGCACTGCTCTGATATGAAGCTAACAGGCTAACAAACAGAAGCTCCTGTGTTTGCCATGCTGTGTGCCAAACACAGCTAGCCTGAATATGACCCACAACACACACACACAGACACACACACACACACACACACACACACACACACACACACACACACACACACACACCAGAGTTTACAAGTCTCCAGGCACATCTGGATACAGTTTAAGGAACAGCAGTGTAATTACTGGAGAGCTCCAACATCGCAAATCAGTTTACACACACACACACACACACACACACACACACACACACACACACACACACAGTCCTTTAAAAGGGGGAAGTACACTGATGAGTGTACTCTGAAATGCCACCGGAGGAGCGTTCCCCTTCAGCGGAGAGAGGCTGGAGCATCCCGGAAAACATTCTGGCCTCGCAAATTACCAGAAGAGACACACACACACACACACACACACACACACACACACACACGAAACAGACGGAGGGGAATTCCCACAATGCACTGGGAGAGAAGCAATGATACCCGATACGATTTTCTGCGTGTGTGCAGTAGCGCGGTCAATTACTCACCGTCCCGACAGCGACACACAGGAGACTGCTGTTACAGACAGACAGACGGAGTTTATTGATTATTGTTATTACATTCACGGCATAAAAAAAGTGCCTCTAAGTTGTTGTAACTACTTTTTTGGCCACTCGGGGGCAGCAGAACGAGCAAAAGCACAATCTGACACCTGTAAAAACTTTACATGAAGCCATAAACGCTTATATAACCTGTATTTAAAGTAGCCTTCAGTTAGCAAACAGCAGCTTGTGTCGTGTTTGTAGTCCAATATTTGCTCCACTAACGGCTCCAGTTTGGACAATAATGTGCAGATGAATCATGTTCTGTTTGTTTGAATTCAAATCAAAAGTAAAATAACTTGTTTGCATGGTTGAACTGAAGCATCGGCTCAGTAAAAGGCTGCATAGGGCCCCACAGCCACCAGGGGGCCCCAAAACAAGCTGATTAACAATGCAGTTTGTTATTCTGTGAGAAAAAACAACTTAACAACTTCTTAAGCAAATGTTTGGAGCCGTTTAATATTCAAATGTCAAATCCTCTTTCTTACCTGACGACTATCTACACCTGAAATCTTAATATGCAACACTTATTTAAACACTGCCGGACGCTGTGTGTTATTAGCAGCAAATACACAATCTGAACTTACTAAAGATGACTAATGAGAGGACCTCGTTCAGAGGCTGCTAATAAAAAGCACACAAAGAGCGGAGGAATGTAGTGACACAGTGGCAGCTACTCTTTCTCTCTTGTCCTCTTTGTTCTCCTCACTTTTTTCGCCCTCCCTCCCTCCCTCCCTCCCGTCACCGTGGCAGTCAGTTAGTCCGTCAGTTACTGCGTCCAAACCTGTCATTCTGCAGCTGCTCTGTCAGCACTTTATGGACACACACACACACACACACACACACACACACACACACACACACACACACACACACACACACACACACACACACACACTGACAGAGTGGAAATCCACTTCTTATTTACATGAAAAACCTTTGCAAGATTAAAACAAATTCAAGATAACTGGATGAAATAATAAAAGTTACAAAGCTCTAACATAACTGAAACACACTGTACTGAACGTGTGTGTGTGTGTGTGTGTGTGTGTGTTTGGACCACACAAAGAACAGCAGCATATAATATAATAATAGGTGGCTGAAACTAATCTTAATGTTCATTAGCAGTTTATAAAATCTTCTGGTTGAATTGATTAGTCCATAAAATGTCTCAACGTCTGAAACTGGCTGAAATTGTTCAAGCAACATTTAGAAATCCAGATGTGTCAGTTTAAAATTCACACAATGAAGGACCTGAAACAAGTGAAAATGTGCAAATATCAGCTGATAAATGACTAAAATTGATCAAGCCAACATAACAATTGTCATTACTTCTCGTTGGAGCGTCACTGTGACGAACAACAACAGGACAATGGACACAAACACCAGTCCTTTGTTGCAAAGGTCCATCGGAAACTTGAGGCATTAAATCAAAGAGAGTCGGTGACACTTCTGCAGTGTGTACGGAGCCTCTGACACACTGATTAATACTTGTGATAGGTCTGCTCCTTTAAAACGTTAAAAACAGGTGAAAGTCGCCATGACAACCGTCCTGCCGGAGAGGACGGAGTGTCAGCGTGTCAGAAAACACAAAAACTAATCACATTACTCAACCGTGTTGTTTTAAAACTGAACAATCTGCCACCAACAGGGAGCGAAGAGAGACGGCGAACAAAGGGGACCGTCGGCACAGCCTCCCTCCCCTCCTTCCTCACCCCCCTCCCCCTTGCCAGACAAAGGAGCAGCGCTCAGCCACACACACACACACACACACACACACACACACATAAAGCACACAAAGCGCTGCGTGCACACAGCTGATCGGTGGCACGCTCTGACTTCCAAACCTTAACAAAGATCTTTAACTGTACACGCTGCAGAAATAAGCAGAAAGCTGTGTGCCAACTGCTCCCAAAACATCTGCTTTATTTCCACAACTTTACATCTGGATGCAGTACGGAGCTGCAGGTGTGTGTGTGTGTGTGTGTGTGTGAGAGCATCTACAGTACGTGGGTGTGTTTGTTTTCAAAGTCGTGACGCTGAATCTCACACACACACACACACACACACACACGCACACACGCACACACACACACACACACACACACACACACACACACACACACACACACACACAGCCTCTTTAGTTTCTATCCTGCATCCAGACATTTGAAAAGTTTTGTCTATAAAATTCTGTTCAGTTTCTGTTGTTTTATGATCCCAGATGGGAAAAATAAACATATCACAACAACAATGCAAATAAATTAATGTGCAAGAAGCTAAAACAGGATGCTATGTGCAGATAAGATGCCAATAACTTTAAATTATATGTGCAAATTAAGCAGGGATATTGCACAAAGAACAAAGGAGGTTTTACTCCTTTAACACGTCAAATGTCACAAAAAGAGTGAAAATGACATTTTACAGGCTTGATCATCAATATCTTGTCTGAAAACAGTCTAAGATCTAAAGAATATTACAGTTAGAACATATAGAGACAGAGAAAGGCAGCAAATCCTCACTTTTGAGGAGCTGGAAACAGAGTGTTTGGCATTTTTACTGATTGTTGCAGCACTAAAATCCTCAGAAGTTGCACACACACACACACACACACACACACACACACACACACACACACACACACACACAGACACACAACACAACACGAAGCACAAGAACACTTTAGGTCGTGTGCTGCAAGAAGAATAAAAGCAAAAAAAGCTGCAAAAACATGAAAAAAGGAGAAGAAAGAAGAGAGAAACAAGTAAAAAGATGCAGATAAAAAGGACAGACAGGAGGAGGAAGAGTGAGTGAAGAAACAAAAGATGAAGAATAAACTACAAAGAAAGAAAATCTGTCCGGTTGCGTCTCTTACCGTCCTCAACCATCGCATTCTCCGTTAGCTGCATGCTGCCACTCGTCTCTCAGCTGTTTCCCTCCTCCCTCCTTCTCTCATTCACTCTCCCTCTCTCTCTCTCTCTCTCTCGCTCTCTCTTGCTCTCTCACGCTCCTCCTCTACCTCCTCCTCCGCCGCCACCTCCTCCTCCTGCTCTAAGCTCCGTCAGACTGAAGAAAAGAGCGAGCAAGGCTGATCCTAAAAGACGGGGCGACGCGGCTAACTAATCCCCGCACGGAGGCCCGCCCCCTCGGCCAATCAG